TATTTATGTACTAAATAATTTTATTATGTTTACTTGTTTTTATTATGTATTAAAAATATTTTCTTAGTGTATGCCAAAATGTTTACAGATGTTATTTTAAGGTACATTTTTAAAGGAACCATTGTGGAGTGGGAAGAAAATATCATGTGTTTTGCCACAAAGGGTTCCCATCTTATTTAGGCCATTGTTTGTACTTCTTCGGAATTGTTTGTCGTTAACAAAACTCTGCTTGAGCCATTCACAGGAGCAGTCAGAGGAGCAGCCAACTGGCCAACCACTGTTTCCGCTACATTGCAGGGAAAGCTGCCAAGTGTGAGGCCACTGCTGTCGGTCACATATATTCCAAATAAAGTTGTGACTGGTTAGTGAAGATGCTGCCCCATCAATACAACAAAGGCCAGGGACAGGCATATGAAAACTTTTAGGAACTTGCCTCAGAAATCCTAATGCTGTTTTCTCATTGACATACCTGTGTTTCGGGGTACATAAAAGTATGATTTCACATACATTTTAATGGCTATGAAGAAGGTGGTGGTGGTGTTGTTAGAATGCCATTTTATCAATAGCATTAAGTGCAATGAGTTGCATGATCTGTAATAAAACTATGTCTATGCTATTGGCCTGTCAAAGAAACGTGTACAGGAAGAGTGTCCTTGATCTACCTTGAGATTAAAACCCCACGTTTTAAAACTAGACCTCAACTGATTCCTAAGCAGCTGGAATAGCGGTCCAGAATAGATTTGTCTTGAGCTGTTGGACAGTAAGATTTTCTGTTTTAGCTGTCTCTGCAAATAAATACCATTTTGGCTTAAAAAACTTATGACACAAGACAAAAAAAGGAAGTTTAAGATATACAAGCACAAGCATTTTTTTTTCTTAAGCAGTTAAATTTATGCCTTCTTTTGTGTCATATGCTGTCTTTTTTTTTTTTTTTTCCTTTGACTCTTTTTAAGGGCTCTTTAAATGTCACCAGTGTAGTGGGTAATTTGTAGATAATGAACATGATGGAGGATCAAACCCCCTTTGCCATACTTCTGTATTCTGGTATGAGCATGTGCAGATCTGTGATTATCCAGCCATAAGGTAGGAGTGGGCGGATAGTTTAATAGCCCAGGTATGAGAGATGAGCACTTTGCATCACCTGTCCATTTGGATTAAACTCAAAAGAAAGACCTGACTTTGCTATGTTATCTGCACTAAGCATTACTTTTACTAAGGCTAAAATACTTCGTTAGGACCGAGCTCAAAGTTTTGCAAATGTGGCTTTAACTTAGATTTCTTATTTCCTCATTGGAAATAATATATGCTTCCAGCTCTGGGAGGAAATAATATTTTAATACTACATCTTTATTAATATTTCAGTATCGTTCTATTTTTTTATTTAGAAATTGAATTAAGTTCAACGTAGTCAAGACTGAAAATGGGTAGGTTTATCGTGACTGAATTTCATCCATTTTGGATGACAATCCTGCTCTCTTTTTTTTTTTTTGTCCTGTATATTTGCCACTTTATGTTAATATATTTTTCTTTTTTTTCTTTTCAGTGGTAATCACTGAAGTCAGTAACAGTTGTGTGCCTTGGAAAATATAGCTTTCAAAGGGGGCATCATGAGTTGAAGATGATCATTTCAAATTTAGACTTAAAAAGTCATTTTTTAAGAATACATGAATTTTAAATTTAAGGATTTAGGGATGTGTCAGTTTTCTGGTGTATTATATAGCAATTGGATAAATTTGGCTAACAGATTGTATCCAAATGCATTAAACAGATATTCATACTAGCCAGCTATTTTATTAACTAATTCCCTTTTTAATATTGTCTGCTATGCAGAGAAAAGTTGACTTGTACTGAGAATTTTTATCAGTGCTGATAGATTCTCAGCTGGGTTTTACAAAATGAAAACATTGTGATCTTGCCTGGGCAGTTTATGTATCGGTGTATCCCCTTCTATGCTCTCGGAAAACGAATGAAAAATACCTTTTCTTCCCCGTCTCTTCTCTAAGTCAAATGAACTGAAATGGAGCTTCCTTATTCAATAAAAGGTGGTTTCATAAAGCTTCTCAGGAATAGGACCTCTTTCATTATTGAATCCTTCTATGCTGGAAAGAACCAGTCTCTCCTTGCCTACCCAGCAGTTTATTTTCAAGTTGTATGGTGAGAAGCACAGCTGACCTTTGCTCTGCTGGGCTCCAGATTTCCTAGTGAGAGTAGCTTGTGCATTGGAGCAAGAGAACCTGCCAACAGTTAGTGGAGGAGAAAGGACTTCTACCAAACATCTTCTCCCTATGCTCTGCCAGTCTCTTTTTTGAGGGTATCTGTGCATGAAGATTCATTTCCAGGTGCGTGCTGCATGGGAATGTGCAGATAGGAACATTTTAGGCCTGCATTTTGCATGTGTTAGGAGCACTTCTAGTTGAGCAGTGGGTGTGGAGCTGGGGCACACATGTGACATAAAGTGTTCCATGAAAGATGAGATGTGGCTCATCAGGCTCATCAAAATCCTCTCTGAATTTGCTGTAACCTTTACTTGATTTTGAAGAAGCAGATCACTGCAGTAGCAATTCCCTCTCAAATACAGCTTAGTTGCCTTTCTGGAGGAGATAGAATGGGAGGGCTTCCCTTGCCCCATGTTTTTTTTTTATCTGGTTAGCATTCCATGAATGTGAGGTCAATGTAAGCTATTCATATGACTGGAATAAAAGAGAAAGCTGCCAACTACAGACATATAGGAATAAACATACCTATCCGAAATCTTCATAATGTTTCGGTCCACTTAGCAAAACTTAGCAGTTTTGTTCTTTTCTTACAAGTTTATCTAGAATCAGAGAGTGCATGGGAATTGGCCTTGTTTCTTGTAGATAATTGTAGATGCAGCTGATTTAGATTTTTCTGAGTTCTGCTATTATTAGTTATGTATTTACACTGGACTGCCCTACAATTTTTCCATTTGCCCATTTAATCCCTTGAATGCCTTTGAGTTTGTGCAGTTCTTTTGCTGGCTCCTCAGCCAGCCTTTTTACTACTGCTGATTTCAGAGAAAACCAGAATTGAAAAAGCCTTCATAGCTGGCTTTCCTGAAGTGCCAGTTCAGATAACACACTGCAAATGTGTTAGCCGTTTAGCAATCCCAGTACTGCACCAGCAGAGCCAAACAGAACCAAACAGGAAAAGGAACCTTGTGGGGGATTCCTTTTGTTCCTCTCCTCTCTTTATTCTGCATTTTAATTATCCACAAAATTGATTTTATAAGGTACTCTGTTAGCTGAACAGATCTTTGTTCTTCTGGGGATTCACTCTGCCTCTACTGCAAAAAACATCTCGTTTTCACAGAGGCAAAACTTGTTGCTTCTCCCTTACAGCTCTTTCGGGCTTTGGGGTGAAGTAGCGTGGACGTGGTGCCGATGGCGGGCAGCATTTGGGGAGCCTGGCCCGAGCATTGAAGGAGTCCTGCTTGGCACTCCGGTGCTCCAGACAAGGGCGGGTTGTTGGAGGAAGAGCTCGATCCTTCCTGCTTACCCGTGGATTCCCTTATCTGCTCCCCTCGGGGAGCCTAAACAACAGGCTGAGTGTTCTTGGCTGCGAGTGGGATAAGAGCCCCATTGAGCTTGAGGGATGTTCCTGTAGACTATGAGAGGACTCTTATAGTGTAAGCCTTAAAGGTGTAAATGCCGTATTATGTGGTACTAATTCTTCATTAAGGAACTGTATTACAGAAACTCCATAATAATGCCGTGCTGATCACATACCATGGTGCTGCATGGTGATTTGTCACCACCACCTGCTATGTGGTCCGCAGCCCTGGGTTGCCGTGCTTGCTCATTGCTCATGTTGTTCCTTCTGCTATTTTGCACTGCCATTGCTTAATCCCTAAAAACTGAAGCAAAGATTTATGTCTGAAATCGTTGCCAATGGTTCATGTTTTCTAGTCCCTCTTTCTTCAAACTGTTTCATGTGGGATATTGCACAACACATGTTGCCTCAGTACTCTGCAGATGGGTGTTTTTAGCTCACAAAGCAGTAGGAATATTACTGTTTGTTGTGCACAGACACATTTACCGTGGCCTTGGAGAATGATTTTAGATAGAACTATTAATTCCTGTGTTAATTCTTAAGTATATTGTGACTGTTATCATTACTCTTTAATTTTAATAAAAAACTGTTTTATGGCATTGAATATATTCACCAATATCTCTAGTCAATAATAAGCACAAAGCCTTGATATTTTTATATTGTTTTGTCCAAATTTTTAATATCCCAGATGATATCCTAAAAATTAATCCAGATTAATAATTTTGGAAAGAAAATTGCACAAGAAATCTTTGTGGTTGAGGCTGTAAGGACAAATTCAAGAGTTTGTACTCTTAGCAGAGAGAGTAAGAACAGAGACACTGCTTTTATGTATGGAAAAAAATCTATAATCCTTATTCTTTAAGAAACGGATGTAATCTAAAGAGCAGTAGATGAGTGTGAATGGATGCACGCTCTATGCCCTGTGTCACTGTGATGTGTATTCCTTTGATTATCCTTGCTTCTGAGTTGGTATCGGCCTAACTCCTTCTGAAGTTTTAAACCTCTGCTGATTTCTGTTAGCTGAAGATCTGTCTAGGAATTACTTGACGTCATCTTTATTTTCTTTCATGGTGCTACATGTGATGTAATTGCTGAAGAAACAAAAACTAAGGAAAACTTCCATAGCTGAAAAAGTTAATCCAAAAAAGGGTTGAAATGGTTTGTTTCTGACATCCTTGATGAGGAGTGTCCGAGGCATGAAACATGGCAGTAAAGATCATGGAGTGGACTGGCCTTAAAAAAAAAGAGGTTCCTGCCAAGCAGTGAAGCTAAGGCACTTAAATTATAATACCCATTTTAGAAGCTGCAGTTTACATAGAGACTCCTTACTATGACATGCTAACAAGTAATGCTTTCAGTTGCTACCTGTTTGAGATCCTCCTGATATAAGGGATTAGCCTGTGTTCTCAAATTGTGTTGTTTCTTTGCAGGAGTCAGAGAGTAATAAGTTATGTTCCCTATATTCCTTCCGAAATACCTCTACCTCACCACACAAGCCCGACGAAGGAGGTCGTGAGCGCAGTGAGCTAATGACCAGTGTTAATTTTGGAACGCCAGAACGCCGCAAAGGAAGCCTTGCTGATGTGGTGGACACATTGAAGCAGAAGAAACTAGAAGAAATGACGAGGACTGAGCAAGAAGGTATGTGTTAGATAAGACTAAAACATTTCCCCCATGTACCCCCAAAATTTTGAATTCATAACTGGTCATGGAATAGTGAGTAATATTCTTCTGTGATATTTGTTTTTTTTCTTCTTCTAAAAGATAAATGCATATTCTAAACAACAGGAATGAATAAAACAAGAGTTGTTTTATTTTGCCTCTGAAATTCTCATCTTTCATCACCTTAATGATCCAGCATCTGTGGCTAGGAGAATGGGAAACAATTATGAATTTTAAGTGGATCTATTTCTGACCTTCATAACTAGATTTGTAGCTGAAAAATCATTTTTTTACGGTCTGCGTAGGTATTGTTACATGTGTTAAAAGGTAGACATAAGAATGAGGACAAAACTTGGAGCTGAAAGGAATTTTATGTTTAGTCTTTTTTTCAGATAATTTTTTTCTTGGCTTAGCTAAGATTTTTGCTTTGATAGGGACTAAACAATTGCAGAATTAATTTATCAATGTATGCACAGTGGACAGGGTCCACTAGGACAGTCTTTCCCAATTTCAGGTAGGTAGCTTCTGTAACAATATCTTCTTGTCTCTGAACTCATTTCCAGAAGACCTCCTAAAATACACAGATTGTGTTAGTTATGTTGCCAGTGTTTGCAAGCATTGAAAATAACCAAGGAATAATATTTGTAATGTAGTTGAACCACTAGTTATTAGAACGTTGTGATCCTCTTCGCCTTTAAATATGAATGAATTCAGATTGATGTTAACCTCTTCTCCTCCATGTTATGGCCACAGCCTTCGAGGTACTTTAGGGTCCCTTGGTTTTGTGTAGTAAGGTAGATTTCACTAAAAATTAATACTGATACAATAACATATTTAAATAAGGAATTAAATCGTGTGGGAATGGAAAATAGGCCTTCCAATTTCTTGGCACAATTGTTAAATGCCAGCACATAGTTAAATGTGTTCTCTAGGTGTCCTTTCTGAAGCTGGTGAAACATCTCTAAAGAGAGAATGTCCCAGATTCTTTACTACCATCTGTCTGTTTTCAGCTGTAAAGATCACTCTGTTAAGAATTTCTTTCTTAGATTTGGTGGTTAGACTAGGAAAACTATTTTAAATGTTACTTTGGCAAAGTTGTTTTTTTACAGTCAGTTAACAGTCGTTCGACACTCCATGCTAATCGAAGGTCTTGGCTCATGCTTTGCTGCAGGAGCCTCCAAGCTGCTGTTGATTACAGTGACACCACAGCTAAGACTTTTTCAGGAGTATGTAGAACGGTGTGCTAATAAAATTGTGCTTCAAAAACTTTTAGGATAATATCTTAGAGTAAGATTTCAAGTGTGTTGTAGCTACTTTTAGTGTGAATTCACAAGAATTTGATGCGCTTTCTCTTTATTAGTTTGTTCCAGTTGATTTGATTTGAGAAGGGTGTGTAGACAGCAAAGGTATCTCTCTCTCTGAGTCTGAGACCTCTATGCAGCATATTTCCAGCTGTGGAATAAAGATGATTCCTGATCTTTTATGGACCACACTATGCTGGGAAACAGTTTCCAAGCTTGTAAGTTCAAAGGTAGCTGACATTTTCTGGCAAAAGGCAAAGGGCTTTTTCTATAGAAGAGATTCACTTCCATTTTTTAAAAATAATTGTTGGGCATCTAATTGGCAGTGTGTAAACAAAGACAGAAGAATTTTGAGAAATTTAGTGGCTTTAAAGTCTTCTGTAGACTAGGAATAAAAAAGTTATAATTACAAATTTGAATACCTACTTCAGTATTCACAAGTTTTTCTGAATTGCAAGCAAGTAACCTCTTTGTACTTAATAGAATCATAGAATGCTTAAGGTTGGAAGGGACCTCTAGAGATCATCTAGTCCAACCCTCCTGCTCCAGCAGGGACACCTAGAGCATGTGGCGCAGGACTGCATCCAAGTTGTTTGATTTTAATAAAAATAATTAAGATTCTGATTTTTGTTGTGACTACAGGGGACTGAGTTGCAGAAAAGAGAAATGCAGAAAATGTTTTGCCATCTTAACAATGTCTTTTAAGCTGTCAATTAATAGCCTAATCACACAGATGCCATAGATGATGCTCTTTAACTTGTATGCTTTAGAGCAGGTTTGTATGGAGTTCACAGCAGTCCTCGTAAAATGGCTTGTAGCTGGTGCTCTTGAGGAGCCTAGTGAGTCTTCATCTGCCCCAAAGTGCTTGCCCAAATGGAAACATGCCTGCTGGTTTTGGGGGCAAGTACATACTGTGGTATAATCACCTTAATGAATGCAATAGTCAACAAACGTCTTTTCCTACTGAATTCTGGTGGGACCTTCTCATCTTTTGTTCTCAAAATGCATTAGAAATGATGTCTTGCCCGCTCCTTTGAATGCACCCCTCATACGGAGCAGAGGTTTGCAGGGAGCAGCTCCGGGCACATCTGGGCATCAGTGGAGCTAGGCTGGAAGAAGGCCCTGTGCCAAGGTAACAGCCACGCTGGGAACCGAGCGGAGGCCTGGGAAATTCCAACCCTCTCCTCTAATCTCTGAGCCAGGACAGCAACAAGTCCCTTCTCATGCTGGTTCTGGTGCAGCCTTTCTATCTATCTATAGGGTGTGAATTTGAGTTAATGTGAATCACAAAATATTTTGTGGTATACTATCAGATATTGAGTGTCAATTATGTGGCCTCTGTTGTGACTAGTAACGTGGAAAAAAAGGAATACACAGAGAAAGGCCTTACCACGTCTAAATAAATATATTTAATCAGAATCCTTGGGCTTCCGAAAATAAGTTGTCTAATGAGAATTTCATCTGAGCAGCTGTGACTGAGGAGGTCAACAGGCATTGCCTAAGAGAATATGGCCCAGCTGGTTAAATCTGGTTGTTGTAGTGATTTAAATGGTCAAGTGCTGCTTGTAATCCAGGACCGTCTGTTTGTAAAGGAGAGAGTGAGTGCTTCAGCATAATGTACAGCTGTTTTAATCTCTCTTTAATAATAGTGCTTCAGCCAGTGTCATGTCTTGTGTATAATACTGTGAACATGAGCGCCTCATTCAGGACTCAGTGTACCTTTGGTCACTCTTTGTCATTGCTTGTAGTTTTAAAAAAGATTATCAACATCCCAAGATTAACAATATTCTTTGACTTCCTGACCTACTATTTGTGTGAAAAAAAACATTCCTGTGACTTGATTTTTAAAGATTTGGGAATGAGAAAATTATAAAAATAATAGAATGCTATAAATATTTTCAGTTAATTTGAGTATGCAAAGACTTTGCTGACATGTGTTCTCATAAGGCAGAAGAGGTCAGAAATGAACAGGTGCCTAATTAAATCAACAGCACTAGACTCTAGGACCTCTTGGCGACTTCGATATGGTCATCACCTTATTTTTCTTGTAAGAGGAAGGATATTTTACTGGTCTTTTTCTCTGCAAGTATCCTCCAGTAAAGCCAAGCGCAACGTGTCTTTGTGGTGCTCAGGTGGAGGGTGTCTTCGCTAGCACACTCAGGCCACTTCTCTGCCTGGTCAAGACAAGAAGTACCTTTCAGAATATCTGTGTGCGGCTTTCGTGAGAGCCATTTCCATTCCCTCACAGGCTGCGACTTGGCCTGCAGACAACTATCCCCCTGTACTTCATCCCGAGCCCCCGAGCGCGGCAAGCAGAGCCCGGTTCCCTCCTTCCGAGGGGGCCGCCCGCCCAGCAGGGCAGCTGGCACCAGTGCTCTGCAAACCGGGCCCGTCGGGCTGCGCGTGCTAAGCCCTCCTCGCCTGGGGCCCGGATTCCCAAGTCACCGGTGACCTTGCTAGTGTGTGATGTACGCGGTGTCGCTTTGCAGCCCAGCTCAGGGCTGAATTCTGGCACCAGCTTTTTATAAACTACTTCCCATTCTTGTTTCCTCATTGAAGGCCATCACTGAGCATGCACAGGTCAAAGGTCTTTGCCTCAGTGCACTGGCATAATGAGCAGCTCTGAAAAGTCGTGTATGCAGAAATTCCCATCTATTCTGTGGGGTGCACCTGTTTGTAATCCCTTGCTTTAGGTGAATATATGTACCTCGTAGTGGTATATGCCTAAAGATTGGTTAAAATATAATCGTGATCTTATATAGAATAAGGACTTTAAAATGCTGCTTCTCTGCAGCAGTTGTTTCAAATTTTGTCAGATTTTTTTTCTCTTGAGTTTCATGAGTTAATAAAAATTGAAGGTTTTCTATTATATTGACTTAGAATAGATTAATGCTGCCACTGTAAAATTTTCTTTCGTACCACTAAGGAAGGTGTACCCCAATATTGCGCACACAAATATGTACACATTTTCTGTTGTCTTCACCTGGAAATAAAGAACTGTGGCCTCACATAATGTGTTTTAAATCTGGGTACTGGTAAAACCATTTCAGCTGTAATTTCATGCATTTTTTTTTAATAGAATCTGTGTGTGTTAGATCTTAGTGAGTGAATGAGAGGTTTCAGTCTGTGTCTTTGTTTTAAACCTCTGGCAGCTGAGAACACGGAGAGCTCTGGCAGGTACTTCTGCCTTTTGGTATAGTTTTAAGCACTGTCTTCACGGATGTTAGGTGTCAGGAGCTCTCTTTTAGGCATCAGGCCCAGAAGTAAGCTGATGCTGATGGTTTTTCAGAAATGTTGTTTAGATTTGATCGGTTACCTGTTTTCTTTCATAGTCTACACCCAAAGTTTCCATTGATGAAGGTGTCATCTCAGCTTGTTCTGATACAAATGGCATTTATAACATTGTTCATTATTCTACAGTTCTCTGCAGGGCTACAGATTTTTTTGTTTTGTTTTAAGACATTAAAAATATTCCTGGGAATTTTTATTAGGATTATCCAAACTATTTTTTAAATTCATATTAGAGTCTTGTTTTGTGATATCTATGAAATAGCCCAAATAGTGCCTGGGGTTCCTTTTGGCTAAAAAAAATACATTTGGATGTCAAAAGATACATGTTCTTCAAGAACCTTTCTTCTTCTTTGAAAAGCTTGCCATGTCTGCAAGGTACCAGTTTCA